TTGAAGGCATACGAGGAGCGTATAAGAGGAACGGAGAAAGTGGAGGACACTCAAGGTGGGTTATTGTTGGCTAGTGAGGAAAAATCACATGTTTGTAAGCATTGTGGCAATTGACGTTCAAATCGGGATGACTTTGGACGTGACCGGGGAAGAGGTCGGGGGTCCGGGAGAAGTCAAGATGGTAATGAACGTGTCTGGGATAAAAGTAACGTTAGATGTTACAAAAAGGAAGAAGCGGGTCTAATCGAAGAGGAATCGACAGTGTTTTGAACGAGTGGCTTAACCGATTAAGGGGGTGATTGTTGGATTAATCGGTTAAAAGAAAGTTTGTTTTATTTTAGGAAACTTGATATGGACTTGTTTTAGTTTTTGTGTTTGTTTAGGATTCAATTATGTCTAGTATAAATAGGGTACAAGTTTCAGATCAAGAATTTAGTGGTCTCGTTTATTAGTAAAAGTTTAGTAGTCAAGCAATTTCCATTGTTCCGTTTTTTCTTCTATTTTGTTGCACACCTGTTCCAACTTAAATAAAACTTACAAAAGAGAATTTGTTTATGTCGATCAACTTCGGTCGATGCCTCCTCAGATATTGGTGAGTGATTTTGCGAAGTCTAACATCGTTGATGCATACCACATTAATGGTGGTTGGGATCATCAAGAAATGAGGTATAAATTACTTAGTTTATTTTAAATTTCCAAAGGAAGAGATTTGATTCCCTTTTGATTTTTTATAAGTTCATCAAGACTTGGTTGGTGATATTTGAGTGTATGCAAAGCAAAAAGCAAAAAAAAAAAAGAAGTAAGATTGTTTGCGTTCTTTGTTATTTTGAATACCTGATGTCTATCATTTCAATTAATGGATTTTGATAGCACTGACATTGTTTTTGCATTTCAATTAATGGATTTTGTTGTTACCAGCATGTTACCAATTGTGTGTTAATTTGAGCATGCGATTGAATAGCTTTGTGTATTGGTTGGATTGAACTGTTTTTATTAAACACGTGATTGACTTAGTTGGATTGCTTGGGTTGAACTCCTTTGGATTGAACATGATTATTGGTAGTTAAATCCTTTTCTTGAATTGCTTTGGATTGAACGGTTTTGGTTTGAATTTCTTTGGAATGAACTTATATGCAAATTACTTGGATTAGTTCAATTCCTTTCCTTGAAACATGATTATTGGTGGTTAATGAGTTTCTTTGTCACTTTGGTTATACATGCTTATCGAATGGCTAATGGTGGTTTAGGTTGTGTTTGGCGCGCCACAGCTAGCTGATAAGCTAGCTTATTTTTCGAGTTTTTTTATGTTGTCATGTTTGGTAAGCCAAAAAGTAGCTTATAAACTAACTTATAAGCTAGCTTTTTGAAAAGCTACTTAGACTAGCTTTTTAGAAGCTTTTAAAATTTTTCCAAATACACCCTTAATTAATTATAGAAACACATACTCTTACATATTCTTTTATGTAATTTTATATATTTCAGCTAGTTTTTCAGTTGGTTTTACCAAACGTTATTTTTTATCAGCTACCTTTTCAGCTATCAGCTAGCTTTTTATTTAACAACTAGTTTTTCAGCTATCAGCTAGCACGCCAAACATAACCTTAGTCCAATTTTGTTTTCAGTAATGAAGTCGTTACAGTTCTTTTTGTTTCTGGTTGGAAACTAGTTTCACTTCAATTCCTTGACTACTTGTTATATTGTGGTTTTAATTTATTTCTTTTTTCGTTGGATAAGATTGAAATGGCGGTTTCCATTCCTTCTTCTTGGTTTTCAATAACATTTTTGGTTTGAATTCTTTTTTTTTCCGAAATGTGGCGGACTATGGTGGTCATTGGTGGTTCACTTAGAACATTGTTGGAATGATGGTGGACTCAATTGGGTGGATTTTGTAATTTAAGCGAACATAAAAAGACAAAGTTTCACAAATGGTCCTTATGAAATGAAAGGTATTATAGTCTTAAAAAAAACATAACGCATTCACTTGACAACGTTAGTCATAAGTACCGGTGGGTGTTATGAATTCCAAAGTTAAGGACCATTCGAGCAAGAAAGTTCCAAAATGACTGAGAGAAATTTTTAAAACCATAAAAACCAACAATGAAATTTAGTCTACTTTTTTTATGTTATTTATATTATTAGTTTATTACAAAGGCTATCTTCCAAGTAATACAGCCGAATTCCTAAAAATGATTAAATAAAAAATAACTAACGCATTTTTTGATCTGAAATCTGAATTAAAATGTTGATTGGAGTATTGGACACATATTTATACGTGTGAGATTATTTTATTAGCTTATGTGAAATTTGTATAGATTTTTATATGGATAAATAAAAGATTCATCGAACTATGTGTTTTCGCAATATTTTGTATTATGATGAACTTCACATAATTTATTATCGAACTTGATGGATTATGACATCTTCTAAACAACGTTCGGCGTGACTTGGCGGCAATATCAAACTTCAAACTTTTATGAGTGGTAGACCTCGTGGTGAGAAACGTCATTATTAAGACGTGACCTAAGCCGACAATTTTATATATATATATATATATATATATATATATATATATATATATATATATATATTCTACTATTATTTATTTTTATATAAATATATGACTTAAGATGACATTTTGTTAAAACGTGTTGTCAAGTACAAACTTTGAAGTTATGACACGTCAAGACAAATTTGTTAGAACCTTGGTTTATGATGATTAGAGCGGCTTGATTAGTTTTGAAATCGTGAGATATTTAGGGAGGATGTTTATTAACCAAAAAAAATGAAAATTTTCTTTTCTTTTTATAATTTTGGATTGATATTAGATTATTACTTATTAGGATTATAGGAATTGCAAATTTTAGTTTCAATTGCCATATTTAGTAGGGATTACCTATTTCAGTTAACAATTGACAAATTTAATATTATTTGAGGTATATAGCTAAATGTTAGGTTATTGTTTATTTATTTATTAGGAAATTCCTATTTCCATTATCTTATTATTATTTGTCATAAAATATGTAACTGTATAATAAGAAACTATTTAACTTATTAATATTTCCTCTTTTAAGTTTCAAGATTAAAGTAATCAAGGTCCAATTAAATAAAACTATAGGCAATTAGGCATGATGTCAAAACTCAAAAGGTTAGCCGAATCAACTAAATCAACTACGCCTAAGGTCAATTAAGTGCTTACAGCATCTTAAATTGTCCTAGTGAATAGAATAAATTAAGCTATAGCAACAATAACAGTATAGCTTTATAATCATTTTTAATACATTAAGTATTTATAAATTTAAAAAAACGGGTGGTAAAGTGTTGACACACCATACATAACAGTTATCAATATTAAGACTCTTTTTGACATGTGTAATCTAATTTAATTTTTTAAGTTTATTATAATCTAGTTTTGATAAGACCATAAAAATATATTATCGTAATTTATAAATTAGTTTTTTGAAAAGCAAGTTGAGATAGTTTATTTATAAGCTAAAACTCTACATAACCTAATTAGTATACCCATCTTTACACCTTGCTCAACCTTCTAACCAAACTATTTTAACACCTTTAAGCAACTTCGCACCAGAGCAAACAGCCAAGCACACAAGTTTCTTCAAAAATCATACGTATTTGAGCTGATAACATTTTTTATGTTAATATATGTTTGAAATAATCGGTAATTAAATTCCAAAAAGCAAACAAGCCCAAACTAGTGTTCAACCCAAACCAAAGTTAAGCATATACCATAAACCCATTATTTATAAACTGAACTTCGGCCCCACAACTCATGGGCCCATATATGTAAGAAAATTCGGGATAAAATAGCCTTGGAAATTCTGAGAATTGTGGTTTTCACTTTCAGATTAAAGTATTTGGGTGGTACTCCCATTAATCGGATAAGACTCAGAATTGAGAGAAAACAGAAGAGCGAATGTTTTGATATTATGAAGAAGAAGTGTACCAACACAGATTCGGATATGATCATATAACAGAAAAAACTTCATGTCTTAAAACTGCCACATGACAGTTTTATGTCCTAAAACTGTCCACAAACGGTCAACAACCTTAAATCCGGGTCTAGAATATGGATCACAAAACCGGATACATTTATCAAAAATCCGGATTTCTGATGCAATTTTAATATAGTAACATAATATATATATATATATATATATATATATATATATATATATATATATATATATAAGATTTTCGCGCTGACCTGACAGCTCGATCCCAGCCAGGGGCTCTGCCCCTTGGACCCCGCCAGGGGCTGCCGCCCCTTGAACCCCGCTCCCAGGGGCGCTGCTCCCGGACCCCCGTCAGTTTAGGGGCTTCACCCCTAAATAGCAGTATACTTTCAACAAAGACAAAATTAAACAAACGTGCACTCCACACTATACCGATTTATTCAAGAATTGTCAAAGTGACATTGATCAACAAATTAACCCCATTACACTTAAATAACATTAGTGATATAAAATCACCAACAATATAAGCATCATCTTAATTATGAAGATCCTCCAAACCTTTTCTCATGATTGTAGGAGGAACTCCCAATGATGATGGAGATTTATGCCGGCCATGCATTATATATATATATATATATATATATATATATATATATATATATATATATATATATATATATATATTGGAATTTCTCTTTGTCATTATCACATCATGCCAACAAGTACAATCGAATTATTTCAAGAAAATGTTTTGATATTGACTATGTCAAAAACTCATAAGTAGATAAATGAGTAAAACAAATAAAACAAATTTTGATCATATAGATAATAAATGGAGAAAATTAAACATCCAAGAATTTCGGGGTCTAATAATATTTGTATATTGAATTAAGTCGTTATTTTGTATTAGATCACAAAGAGACAGTCTTTAGCTTCCTCTAACTAGATGACAAACGTGTGACTACAAAGTGTAGCCGTTATACTTATACTACTCTGCATGTCCAACAATTCCATTTTGCTTCCTGAAAAATGGTCATGGCCTCATCCTCTCACTTTCTTTATGTTAGTTTGTTCATCGTTTCATTCACACAAGTTCTTCCCCTCAATGTAGTCATAAAATCAACATTTATGTATCCACTAACTTGTTCTAATTATACTCGTACATGCAATTCATATCTATACCACATCTCCAAAGGTCAAAACCTCCAAGAAATAAGCTCTTTCTACTCTGTCAACACCTCCAAAATCACACCCATAAACCACAATTCCAATATCGATTATCTAGTTTCAGTTCAGTGTTCTTGTAAGAAAGACAACAGCAGCAGTGATGGATACTACTTGTATGATACGGTTTATAAACAGAAACCTGCAAGAGAGAGTGTTGAGTATATATCAAATGAGTATTATAGTGGGCAAGTATGGAATGTTAGTGGAGAAAATGAAGAACTCAATGTACGTCTTGTTTGTGGGTGTTTGGAAAACGAATCTAACAAAGAAGTTGTCACGTACACAGTCCAATCCGGGGACACTATGCTTGCAATTTCTAAGCTTTTGTCAGCAAAAGAGGTTGAAGTTGAGGATATGAATAGGGTTTTGACTAAAGATCCTAATTCTATAGATATTGGGTGGGTACTTTTCGTACCACAGGAGAAAAACAAGATCCGAGATTCAAAGCCACGTGAGTATATATATATATATATATATATATATATATATATATATATATATATATATATATATATATATATATATATATATATATATATATATTCAACTCATCTCAGCTATTAGTGTGTATTGAGTCATTGACTTTAAGCTTATACTATTGTATATATCAGGGAAGATGAAGGCTTGGATGATAATCGTTTTTATTGTGTTAGCTCTTGTTCTGGTTTTCGTGGTATTATCGTTGTTGTTTCTTTTTAAAAAAAGACAGGATCATGGAATCAAGAAAGATGAACCAAAATCTATGAGAACAAGCCTAAATGCTGAGAAAAAAAGCCTGGAAGATCACTTTTTAAATATAGACATGGAAGGTTAGTTGAATGTTATAGTAGCCCTCGAAAAAAAAAAATACATTTTTTTATTATTATTTTATATGGATGATGCAGAGGCAACAACAAGCATCGAGTCTGAAAAACCGGTGATAATTAGTCTGGAGGAGATTGAGGAGGCTACAAATAATTTTGACGAAGCTAGGAAAATAGGAGAAGGTGGATTTGGTAAAGTGTACTTTGGAATAATAAGAGGAAGGGTATGACATTTATAATATATAACACAATTTTTTCTTCCTTTTTTACATATTAATCTAACATTAACATTGCTTATTTATATGCCTAACAGGAAGCTGCCATAAAGAAAATGAAATCCAGCAAGTCAAAGGAGTTCTTTGCAGAGCTCAAGGTTCTTTGCAGGATACATCATAATAACGTGGTAAGAACTTCATTTTTAAATCAAAAGTTAAATGACTATTTTGACCAAACTTTTGTCTTTGCTCTGTAGGTGCAACTACTGGGATATGCAAGTGGTGACAGCCATCTTTATTTGGTGTATGAGTATGTGCAAAATGGAACACTTAGCGAACATCTTCAGGACCCTTTGCTAAAAGGTAAACCATATTTGGATATATTTATATAATTTATATAAAATAAAAAAGTGGATTCAATGCTTTTCGTTTGTTAAATATTCTAAAAAAAGCACAAAGTGACAGGTCATCAGCCACTCTCATGGACAGCAAGAGCAAACATCGCACTTGATGCTGCTAGGGGAATCGAATACATTCATGATCATACAAAGGCACGCTATGTTCATAGAGATATTAAGACAAGCAATATACTTCTTGACATGGGACTTAAAGCAAAGGTGAAAAAGTCAATAAAGGGTATTTTGGTCATTTTACATGGTTTACATTCCAATTACTTTGAAAGAATTCCATTCCCAACCAAAATCATGGCAGATTATAGTCCAAAAACATTCAGCAAATTAATCAGAGCCCCTTAGCTTCATACGAGAGCATATACTTGCCTTTTTTGTTATTAGAATTCCATGATTTGAAGGATGAATTGCTGATGATGATATGTAGGTTGCAGATTTTGGTCTGACCAAGTTTGTGGAACATGCAAATGAAGAGGATTTCATAGCCACAAGAGTTGTGGGTACCCCTGGATATCTAGCTCCTGAGTATGTTTAATTTGTTGCACGATGATATATATATATATATATATATATATATATATATATATATATATATATATATATATATATATATATAAAAGTAAATTTAGTGAAATTCACAGTTGGGTATAGTTTATGGTTAATTAGTTATTTGGTTATTATCATGACAATGACTTGTTGTTCAATTTGGTTATGAAAGGTCGATATGTGAAATGCAAACCACATCAAAAACCGATGTATTTGCATTTGGTGTGGTTCTAGCAGAACTGATAACAGGTCAGCAAGCACTTGCACGTGATAAGCACGATCCAAAAAAGCTCAAGACACTAGTTGCAGTGGTAAGTCAAAGTATAATGTTCCTAAAGTTTGTTTTTTTTTTTTTTTTTAACGATTATTCACGTCAAAATCAAATTGACGATTAGCTATTTTCTCTGCCAAAAAAAATGAGCAGTTCCGTGCAATATTTCAAGATCAAGATTCAGGAGCTGCATTGGAAGCTCAAATTGACACCAATCTCAAGGGAAGTTACCCTATTGAAGAAGCGAATAAGGTTGGTAGATTGGAATTCATGAATATTTTGTTAAAACGTAAGGGTAAAATGGTGATTTAACATATCTTATCTTATCTTATTAAATAATAACAAAAGTTTACCCTTGTCAGATGGCAGAAACAGCTATGTTATGCTTGAGTGAAGATCCTTGTAATAGACCAGAGATGCGCAATGTTGTGACAATGTTGGCCCAAATTGTGATGAGCTCCATAGAATGGGAAGCATCACTGGGTGGAACGAGCCAGGTTTTTAGTGGCTTGTTCAATGGAAGATGATGAAACAAACACAAATCGATTCCTTTTGAATTTTGATAGATATAAACATCAGTTATGACAAAACAGAATGTAAACAGTGTCCATAGATCATATTATGCATCTGGGAAACATCAAACACTTGATGTATCTCAATTCTTTTGTCATAACAAGTAATGAATCGATATTCGGTAGCTACAATTCAAGAGCGTAGATGCATCTTTTTACAAAATGTGAATAGGGGTATTTAATTTGATAGAGTGCTATGACTCTATCTCAATCAAATTTCTTCAAATCAATTTTTTTTATTTTCTATATTTAAATTTAATTATTGCACCAAATTATCATTATTACTTATTGAACACCTTTTCATTTATTATTATTAAAATACATTTAATTTAATTTTACTTATAGCTTTTTTTATTTTTTTGCATGTTTCTCTATCAAAAAATGGGTTTTTTTGTTTATACTCAAAATTAGTTTAAAAAAATTCAAATATGGTTTGCTGAAAGTAATTTACAGATCACATGAAAAAGAATCAATAATAAATCACCATTCTCAACGTAATTTACAGATCACATGAAAAAGAATCAATTATTTGAGTGAATGAGTCAACAAAAGTCTCAATTTGATTATAAAAGGAATGTGATGCGTTCAATTTTTTTCAATTGATCAAACATTTGAAAACCTAAATATACAAGGGATTTTTATTCCGACCAAGTGTATATTTTATGTTGGGACAATTTAAATATTTGTCCCAAACTAAAAAACTCATCAAACAATTGCAGTCTTATGATGAAAGCAGAAGATGGTTTTGTATAAATAACGATTAATTATAACAATCACTAAATGCAACAAATATTGCATTTGTCAACTCCTTATACCCTAAAAAATATTTTTAATTACAAGCAAACAATAGAGTTTGCCACCAATTACACGAGTTAAAAGATACCATTTTTGGCTAACACACATAAAAACAAGCAAGTCACACTGTAATGAACAAAGAGTAACCTTCATCTTCATTTCTTTGCCTGCCAGATTCATTAAACACATTTGATCAGCAAAGGGTATTTTGGTCCTTTTACATAATATAGTACATTCCAATTCCTTTAACAAATTTGTAAACCAACCATACCCCACCAACTAAACACATGTAAAATTCTGATTCGGATTCTCTCATTATAATTTCATATTTTCATTACAGTTTTATGGTTCAAAAATCGGTTGATTGATATGAATATGAATTTTCAAAAGGTTGCAAATTTCTTCTTATCTCTCTGGCATAGTATTTGTACCTTAAACCGTGGGGATTGGCGGCGGCGTAGAGATGAAGCAGATCCAGGGGACTGAAATGACGATTGTACCCCTTGAACACCTCTGGCTTTCCTGGTTTCTCTAGAGTCATCCTCCTCCATTGCACTTCCACTGTCAGTGGAGACTGAAGAAAATGGGGCAGACATTGATATAACAGAAGTTTCTTGAGGATGAGCACCAGTTTCAGTTAAATTTTCTGCAAAAAATAATAATACATCACAGCATACCCATACCCCCAATGGAAGTGACAAAAGAATGGAATGGAATGAGTCATTCCATTCCATTCCTTCCCCAATTCCATTATACCAGAGAGTGTAAAAGATAAGGTCAATACCAACTGCTGCAACCTCTTGAAATTTTGCTCTCATAGTTCTAACAAAATGATACAAGCCATTAGTAGCATTAAGTTCATGGATCAACTTTTTCACCTCACTCACATTTGGATGACAATCAAGCACTAGACACAACAAATGAAAAGTCAGTATAATTTTCATCACACTAGAGATCATAATACATAATGCAAGCATTACTTTACTTACAAGAATAAATATCATTCTCAAGGCGAATAGTGAAGTAATACTCTTCATTTGGATTCTTTTTATTTATGTTGCTGAAGATAAACTTTATACCTGAAAGAATTATATTACAAGTAAGATGAGCTCTCATTTCTCCTCACACAATAAAATCATATCAAGAAACTTATGTACCATGTCCTGTTTCGATTCTGAATCCAAGCACCCTATTGTACCAAGAAATCGCCTCTTCAATTTCTTCTCTACGTTCTGCATCTTGACTATGCTTTTCTTCATTTTCTTTCAGAGCTTTTAACCGAAAAGTATTATTATAAAAAATGATTAATAGAATGAATCATCACTACATTGTGATACAAATATATTAGATGACAAATTAATTACAAAGTACAGAATACAAAAAAAATACCTTTGAAAGAGTCTGATATGATTGCTGCAAATTCATCCTTTCTGATTCTCTGATCAGCCACAATTTTCTTATGTTCTTCGAGTCTGGCTTTTGTAGCAGAAATGGAGTCTGCTATGGCCATCTTTTTTGCCTCTTTCCGGGTCTTCACTAAACATCCATTAGTGTAGCTTTGTTACTTTAACTCAACGATCATTTAATCACTTATATAACATTAAAACGAAATCATAGCACTGTTACTCATACGAGGGAATACCAGAAAGAGCTTTCACTAAATCGTCCTCCACCGCCCTCAGTTGAGCTTTGAGCTTTCCTATCTTGTCTGAAACAACCACATTGAAGATTAGCTCCATGTATGCTTCTTTAAACAACTATATTTAGGATGTATATACCCCCCACCCCTATTTGTATGGTCGGATTTTACGAGTATTCTACTATACGAAAATAACCCTAGTTTTTTTATGTTAATCAACGTTAGAATCTAACACCAAATCGCACACACAATTCGGAAAAAACCTCAAGTGTTCGCTCAATTTAAGATTTCTAAAAGATAAATTCACCTTGATTTAACACAGTTTCCTGGGCGTCGAACTTGATTGACTGCAGAGATTTGCGCAATGAAAGAACGGCGGCTTCTTGCCTCCGCTGATGAATCTCAATTTCTTTGTCGGTAATCAGTCGCAGTTCCGCCATTTTAGCCCTGATATCACGATCTCCTACTCTTCCCGCCTGCATCGTCATCTGCAGATCTATGTGTGTTGTGTATGTGGGATAGGTTTTGAAACGGGGAGTTTTCACATTTCGCAATTTCGCATAGCCCGCCGTTTTGCTTTATTTGTTTTTTCAAAATGGAAAATTGCTGTAGAGCCCCTGGAACTTTTCTGTGGAGCTCCGTGCTACACCTTAACAACTTTTTAGTACAAATGAAACTCCAAACTTCATTTTAACCAAGTTTGGCCACCTTTTGTGTGAAATTTTTGGTAGGAAACTTATGATATCAAGTAAATATGTCTTTTAAAAGAAATGTATGCAAACTTATGATATCAAGAGTATCTTTTACAAGAGTATTAAAAGTTTTTAAAACTTTAAAGTAAATCATATATCAATTTTTTCTTGTCTCTAAATTTGTTGGTTTGATCTCTATATGTTTTGATTTTAAAACTTTAAAGTAAATCATATATGACTTTTTTCTTGTCGTCTCCATATTTGTTGGTTTGATCTCTATATGTTTTCATTTTCATTTGGATTGTTGCTGATTAATTTTAAACTTACATGTTTCATCCCTGACATAACTAAAAAAACTATAATGCCTTTAAGTCTTTCTTCTTTGAATTATTCAATATTTGTTTATCATTTATCATTAAAAAAAAGACAAATAAAATATATCCTATCTTGTCCTCTCTCTCTCTCTCTCTCTCTCTCTCTCATAAGTTCTAAACCCTAAATCTGCCACAAATATCTCAGCTACCATAACTTGACTGTTGTCGATCATCCATTTGTCGTCGTTAACCGTCGTCGAGGATCTACCACCATCTTGTGAGATTCGCTTCATCGTCACCGTATTCCGTCATTTCGTAAGATCTGCTCCGCCGCCGATTTACATGGTCTAGATCTATCCTGTTGTCCGATATGTTCTATCTCATATCTATATCATCTTCGAAAACCACTCAACGTCTCTAACCACCACTCATTTTTGTTTGATGACCAATCACGACCACCAAAATCGGGTTATGGAACCCAATTTATCATATATGCACCTTATCATAGATTTGTATTAATTTCTTGTTGCTCGAATTATTTTTTGCAGCTCAGTTTCTCATATATGCACTCATCTCAAATTCGACGCCTTATTTGCGGAGAAAAAAAAACATAGTGGTGGGTGGTGGATGTTGATATGTTCTTGGCAATGTTACTCGTCGGGTCTCGATGTTTTTTCCAACGAGGGTTCAGCCTTAAGTCTGATTTTTTTTCAAACACTAGTGTAAGTTTACTTTACCACATGATTAGTTTTCAGTCTTTTTTAATTGTTTAACAATCCCTCTTTTTTTACTTTAGGCTGGAGAGAATGGTATCACACTCCCTTATTTTGTCACATAGGCAACACATCACCAAAGTATGGTTCCTTGCCACACCCACGGAGTGGTGCCATACTTTTTTTTAAACAATTTAATTTAAATAAAAACTTTAAATTTCATTAAAAAAAATCCATACATTCCATTACTTTAAAATTAAAAAAAAAAAAAAAAAAAAAAACTAAACTAAATATGATATGTATATATAGGGTTAGTTTAAAAAAAATCGAAAAATGACTATTGAAACGGTCAAAAGAGCAAGGACCAATCAAATCGCGTGGCTAAAAGGTGCCACACTACGGCCTGAAACGCACCCTGGCCGCACCCAGGGGCGGTGTTCATGTGTCACGATGGCGAAATCGCAGTTCTGAACCGCACCACTCCCCCAAGCCTTATTAGTTTTTCAAGTCAAGCACTTTAGTGGGTCTTTGGGATAGCTTTTCAAAAAAGCTTATAGATTTTTAGCTTTTCAAAAAGCTAATAAGCTAAAAAAGTGTTTGTGTATTTAAAAAAACGCTTTTTAAAACAGCTTTTTGGATAGGAAAAAGTAAAGTTTTCAAAAAGCTGGAAAATCGTATCTTTTTAGCTTTTTAACCATTTTACTCCTGAAAAAACAGTTTTTCTTATCCAAACACTTTTTAAAATCAGTTTTTCCTAAAACCCATAAGCTAGTAAGCACTTTTCTTAAAAATCATTTTTGAGATAAAAAAAGCTAACCTAAACATACCCTTATTCCTTGTGCAAAGAAGTATGATGTATAATACAATTGTTTTGTGTCCACATGGATTTCAGTCATACTTCAGCTAATTGTCACTTGATATAATTAATTAATTAGTAATATTTTTATACTCCGTAGGTATAACACCCTTACACGTAGCGTCATCCCCAAGTTTTAGATGAAGATAATAGGGATAATGACTTAAAAATGTAACGAAGTTTCAAAAATGTACAAAAAAGACCATTATCTTTTTTTAGTACACAAAATACCATTTTACCGGCTATTGTAGGTTACCCGGTTTCCAAATGTTCAAAAAATATCATTGTTGTTTTTTAGTACAAAAAATATCATTAATGTTACTATTTGTACACAGAATACCAGCGAAGTACACATGTATTCAAATAAAAGATTGTGGTAACCAGGTACTTCAGGTACATGGAAAAATGACTTAAAAGTATAACAAAGTTTCCAAAATGTTCAAAAAATACCACACTTTTTGTTAACTGCGTTGTTGTCGGATTATGTAGAACAAAATCACCGGAGATCATGAACCGTCATATCAGTTCACAACAATTGTGCAATTCTCTTTCATTCCTTCACTCGATCGTTCTTGTGGTAACAAGAGAAGTAAGTCTACTCAAATAAATGAAGGTTTTTTTGTCACTTGTCACACTCTTATTTAATTTGCCAAATGTCATTTTGTGGTTATTTTGAATTAATTTTTTTTCTTATGGCATTTTATAAGTTTTTCTATTTTTTTTTTAAATTCAACATAATATTTTAATGTAATAATTGCAATAAATATAGTAATAAATGGATATCAATGTCATTAATGAACTTACCTTTTAATTTCAAAATTCTCAAAATTAAAGTTTATTAGTTTTTTTTGTTTATTTATTTAAATTATTTGTTTAAATTTAAAAGATAAAAAACATTTTCATTATAATAATTCATTAATTTTCTTATTTTCTTATAAATTTAAAGTTCTCAAATATTTAGATATTTATATTGATTTTTTTTAATTAACTCATGTAATACATGGGTCTCACAACTAGTGTGTAATAACCTTAGGTAAACATTCTTGCTTCCCGGTCACATTTATACCTCAAACCTAATATATATATATATATATATATATATATATATATATATATATATATATATATATATATATATACACACGTTATATAGATGCACATATTATACATCAAGGTTAGCCGTTCATTAGTGTTACGACACAAAAGAGACACAAATGAGAAATGAGTGTGAGGTCATGTCATGAGAATTCCTAAATATGGATTTAGATACAAACGGATCGAGTGATCGAATGAAAGAGAGTACACAACTGGTGTGAATTGGTACGACGGTGACTAATCTCCGATGACCGTGTTCTATATAATCCGGAAACAACGAAGTTAACAAAATGTGCTCTGAAAAAACAATAATGGTTTTTTTTGAACTTTTTGGAAATTTCAATGGTATTTTTTGTACTAAAATATGTATTTCGTTGGTATTTTATGTACAAATGATATACTTCAAATGTATTTTTTATACTAAAAAAACAATGGTATCTTTTGAACATATTGGAAACTTTGTTACTTTTTTAAGTCATTTTTCCGTTTACCTGAGGTAACCGATTACCATAAGGTTTTATTTGAACACATGTGTACTTCTTTGGTTTTTGTGTACAAAAAATATACTTTAATGGTATTTTGTGTATTAAAAAAAAGATAATTGTCTTTTTGTATATTTTTGAAACTTCGTTACCTTTTTAAGTCATTATCCCAAGATAATAATGAAATCAGACACGACGTATAGGGTCAATAAAAAAAATAACGACTCTCTGGATGCATCACCACCCCCGACGAATCATACTATAAAGATTTCAAGACAACAGATCCCCATCAAATAAATATTGGTGTCCAAATCTTAAATCGACATCTACATTTTCATCTTCAGCTCCCACGAACATTTGATTGGAACACATTCATAAGTTGTATTGCAATATATATATATATATATATATATATATATAATATATATATTATATATATATAGCATATCATTGGGGTTGGAAATGAAAAATATTGTAATTTCCATGGTTTATGGATGGTTTACGAGGTGGAATTGGAAGAAAAAGAAAAAAATTAATGGGGTTGTTAATGTGAAAATAAAAAAATAAAAAAAAAGTAGTATAAGTCCATTAAAGAATTGCGGATAGGAAATGTGACACCCCATCCTAATATAAATCCATTAAAGATTACATAATTACATTTGTTTTTTTTTTTTTTGGAGCTTAAGTTATAATATAAGTCCATTAAAGAATACATAATCACATTTGTTCTGTTTTGTTTTGTTTTTTGTTTTTTGTTTTGTTTTTTTTTTGGGTGTTAGAGCATGAAGGCAACAAAAAATAAAGATTGAAAAAAAATAAAGATTGAAAGGAGGGATGCGAGGACTTATTTGTCTCCGGCTCTACTAATCATTGAACCCAAAAAGTCCCAAATTAATGATCCCCGAAGGTTGATGGCGAAGAGTTGTAAAGGGCCATGAACAAAATGCAAAGCGTTGGAATTATCATATTTTTTCTTATTGTTTATTTCTTCTTTTCCGGCTAATCTAATATATGTATTTTCTTGCTTTGTGTTTTCCGAGTTCATCAATTTTTTTTCTCGTATATTTTATGAGAGCATATATATAACGACTATGGTCTATAGAATTTTAAGCTTTTTATTTGATTTTGTTCCCTTCATATGGCAGCCGCCCCAAAAGGATGTACGTGTAAAGTATCATCATTTGTATCTCCACTAAAACCCATAAGTAGTTGGAAAGCTACAAAAAGGAAGGGGAATATGACTTATTAAGGTAATTAACTTTTCGGTTTTTTCACATCTGGGTAACTATCTTTTTTTGTACACATCTAGGTAACAACTAACAAACTTGTTGGCGGTGTTCACATATGACCATTATGACCTGCTGTAGCAGGTTACATCCTAGATGTGAACACTTTTAACAAGTTCGTTACCTAGATGTGTA